TGATTCCTTTCTTCTTTGAACATAAACATCAACATGAAGTGAAAACGCTTGGTTCGACAACATGAAAAATATTAAAATAGAGTGTTGCTTAGAATGATTCCTTTCTTATTTGTTCGGAAGTAACAAAGTAAAGTCAAAATGTTTCTTCGAGTACCGAGAAATCTTTGAATAGAGTGTTTGTTTGAATTATTTCTTTGTTACTTGTTCGGAAACAACAAAATCGATACCAAGTGTTTGCTTTCAATAGACTGAAACGTTTGAATACATTATTTCTGCGAATTATTTCTTTCTTTAGTGGTCCTCAACGACACAGTGAGCTGAAAATCTTTCGTTCGAATGCAATCATATATTTTTACTGCGTGTTCCTTCGAGTTATTCATTTGTGCTCTCCTCGAAAATAACACAAACAAGTCAAAATGTTTGGTTCTAATCGACCAAACTATTTCAATATAGTGTTGGTTTGAAGTATTCTACTGTTGTTTCCTCGTAGATATGGAAATCTAATGAAAGTTTTTCGCTCAAATGAAGCAAAATATTTGAGTAAAGTTTTCATTCGGTTATCCCTTTGTTATTTGCTCGGAAAGAACAAATTCAGGTCAAAATGTTTGACACGTATCGAGTAAAATATTAGAGCAGAGCGTGACTTCCAATGGTTCCATTGTTGTTTGTTCGTAAACAACAAAGTTAACTAAGAATCGTCGATATGAATGGAGGAAAATAGTTGAAGAGAGTATTTGTGTCAACTATTTCTTTCTTCTTTGTTTATAAATAACAACATCAACTAGGAATGTTTCGTTCGACGCGAGAAAAATATTTGAAAAGAGTACTTGTTGCAATTATTTCTTTGTTATTTTTTTCGAAAGAACAGAATCAACTCAGATTCTGCGCTCCAAATCGAGGAAAATATGTGACTAGAGTGTTCCTTTGGATCATTCCTTTCCTGTGTGCTCGTATATAACACAATCAGGTCCAAATCATTGATTACAATGGAATAAATCATTTCAATACAGTGTTAGTTTGAATTATTCCTTTGTTGCTTGGTCGTTCGTAACAGAATTAAGTGGAAACTTTTGCTTCGATTGGAGGATAATATCTGCATAGAGCGTTAGTTTAAATTATTCCTTCTTTGTTTTCTCCTTATGCATACGACTAACCTCATATCTTTCATTTAAATCCAGGGCAATATTTGAAAACGGTGTTGGTTCCATTTATTCCTTTCTTCTTTAAACATAAACATCAACATGAAGTGAAAACGTTTGGTTCGACAACATGAAAAATATTAAAATAGAGTGTTTGTTTGAAGGATTCCATTCTTGTTTATTCGGAAATAAAAAGTAAAGTCAAAATGTTTCTTCGAGTACCGAGAAATCTTTGAATAGAGTGTTTGTTTGAATTATTTCTTTCTTGTGTGTTCTTAAATGAGAAAGTCAACTGGAAATTTGACGTTCGCACGCAACCATGTATTTGTTGTGCATGTTGATTATAATTATTCGTTTGTGGTTCGCTCGTAAATAACACAAACAACTCAAAATCATTGGTTCTAAGCGATCAAACTATTTCAATATAGTGTTGGTTTGAAGTATTCCACTGTTGTTTCCTCGTAGATAGCGAAATCTACGGAAATTTTTTCGTTCGAATGAAGCAAAATATTTGAGCAGAGTTTTGATTCAGTTATCCCTTTGTTATTTGCTCGTAAAGAACAAATTCGCGTCAAAATGTTTGGTTCGTATCGAGTAAAATATTAGACTAGAGTGTGACTTCCAATGGTTCCATTGTTGTTTGTTCGTAAAGAACAAAATCAACTAAGAATCTTTCGTATGAATCGAGGAAAATATTTGAACAGAATGTTTGTCTCAACTATTCCCTTCTTCATTGTTCAT